TATATATACAGGTCAAATCATAGAACATTACTCATACGCCATTACAAGCCTCTTAGCTTGTACACCACTCAGTCATTAAAAGTATAAACTGCTTTAATAAAGATGTATAATTGTCCCCTGAAAATGACAAAAATAAGGGGAAAAAATGAAATTAACTTGCTTATTTTGCAATAATATACAAATTATTAACTTGTAGAAATTATTGAATTTAAAAAAATGTGTACCCTGATTTTTATACCAAATAGTGATAATAACCAAGCCAAGTTCAATCAAATATGGATCAAAAGTGTCCTCAAAGAAAAAGACCTCATGGCATATCAAACTTTTTGACCCAAATCTGACCCATTACTTCGCCTTTACAAAAGCAGATCCAGTGCCTGTGCTCTTATAATATTTATTAAAATTACATTCTAATGTTTTATTATAATTATAATCACAATATTAATCATTTTATAAACTTGGTAATCATATTCAGCCTTATCTTTATAATGTAAATTAATACAAATCATCATAGCAAGTCAAGGTATACAGTTTCCTGTTCATTACATTGTACAACTTTAACTCTATTACATACATTATTGCATATTTGCTCCGTTTACAGTATTATTAGTTCGAATATCAAAGTTTAATTACCTGCTGTTGACGTTTCATATAGTTAAATTTAATCATATTGTATCATTGACTATTGTTGTTGTTTTAATACTGATTATTGTAATTATACATAAATATACACACATAATATATATATGTATATATAATATATATAGGCCTATATATATAAATATATAACATGGTCATTATTTGTCTTAGGCTTGACAGGATTGAATAATGCGGCATTGTTGTTATGGTAACTACTCGGTCATTCTTCTATTAAAGGCAATTGTAAAGATGAAATCGATCATGTTGTTGTATACATTTTATTGGATATGAAAAGGCAAATTACAAGGTCAGGGGTAACATAAGAAAGGTGTACTCTTTATAGAGAACCTAGTGTAGCATATTTTCCGGTGTTCGATATTCTGGCCATGAAAGTAATAAATCTTTCTTCAAGCATCATATATTACTCCATATGCAGTTGTATTTAGAATATGCCCTCGGGGAAATAAACAATAGGGTAAATGGTAGGCTTACATAATACTGTAGGTAGAGTCACCAACCATGAACTCTCAAAAAACATATGATAGGTGGCGCTTATCTCCTTCTGTCGGCGCTCGACCCAACATACACTAATTCTTGTATTTTGCCAGGCAAATTGGGACATTTCGGCTGAATGTGGACATCATGGATAAATTTACCACATAATTGCATTCAACTAGGGGTAGCGTGGCGCCAGCGGGGGGGGGGCGGGTGCAGGCCCCCTGTCGGGGAGAGCTGCCCCACCCCCCGTCGGGGAGAAAAAGCACAATTCGTCGGGGAGACAAAAAAATTATATGCATTTTCTGCATATTAGTAGACTCTAAAATCGATTAAATAAGCCTTTAAAACCCCTAAATCGTCAAAATTTTTCTAAGGGTTCCCCCCTGGACCATTTTCGAAACCTTTAATTCGAAGCTCGACCACGCCCACTTTGCTTTCTTCGGGGAATTCTGACCCCTCGTTGGGGCATCGCCCCCCCCCCAGTCGGGGACTTCGGCCCTCTCGTCGGGCAAATCATGGCGCCACCCCTGCATTCAACCCTGCAAGAGAGCAGCATAGAAAAAATACCACTTAGAAACAAATATACGTAAATGGTCCTCTGATAGGGAATATCACTTATCTTGAAAGACTTTAGAATTAATTATCCAGACTAGCAAACTTAATTTCACAAAAACATGTGACATGCCTAAATATAGTCTCGACGACATCACACCATGACCATATATAGGCACATCAGGACCATTTATGAGCACACACCCGTTTTTGGGGGTTTTTTTGTCAAAAAGTTTGATAGTCTGGACGGAGCTATACGTGAATGGGGAAAATGGCTAAGTTGAGCCATGAAGTTATTCCCAGCATGCATTGGACCTTTACAAGAGGAAAACTAAGCTGAAGCATGGCACATTTTCTAATTTTTGTATACAGTATCAACGTTAAGTTATTCTGGTAGGTGATTTAAACATCTTTTTAAAGAAATAATTTAATTATAAACCGAGCCTTTGATGTCATATAATATTTTGTAACATGGGATTTATTAGAGAAGGTGGTTATGGATGTATAGATTCTAGTATTCCCAAAATAGGTATTGCGTAATACAGTCCAGAGAATACGTAGGATTGTTAGTGCATTGGGTTTCAACATTTATTTTCCTCCAGTAGACTTCGATAACCTTATATTTGGCAACTTTCATTCAATGAAAAGTACCAAATAATGCATGTGGGTTGTAACAACCCAACTATTACTAGTACTATAGCATACATCTTTTAAAGTGATGTGCGTGTAGTGAAAGAAGATATATAAACTTTAAGTGTTTACGCTCTTACTACTAAGAAAACTGTTCATGTAAAACCCCTCCTCAAGTGTCATCCATTGGTTTCTGTTCTGAGCCTTCATTGATTAATTTAATTTACACCAGTGTAAGATGTAAGGTCATCTCGCCATCTTATTTTTTGTCTGCCTCTTCTTTTCCCTGATCTCGGTTGCCATTCTCTCGGTCTTTTTGTTCAGCGGTCGTCGTCTCTGCGAGCAACATGACCTGCCCATCTCCACTTTGTTTCTTTTATTCTTTCAATGATGTTGTTAACTTTTGTTTTATCTCTTATTACAATGTTACTTACTAACATTTTTCTTTCCATAGAATATTGGTAGAGTTAGAAAACATTATTAATGGTAAACGAATAACAGTAGTTGAATTAGCTTAAAAGTATCGACAACGAAGGAATTTACAAGGTAATGACAGGCTGTACCCAACTACACAGGAGATACTCGAATAAATTTAAATAATCTAGTGTGAATGTTTCTTTTACTAAAATGTAGGTACAGTATTTTAGATTAAGCTTCTTATTTTGAATAAAACAGGTGTAAAACATGCTATTTTTTAGTCTGTTTCGTTTATTCTTGTGAACAGTGAGAGCAGCGGAGGAGGGTGTGAACAGAGACGGAAAACAGTGGGTGAGTACCTACAGTAAAGTTGAATAATATCCTAATGTTACAAATATAATTTCTCACTAAGAATGCTTTAGTCTACTTTGACGAAGACCTATACTTGATGGGATTGGGTAGTGGTAGTAAATCACTACCCCATATCAACTATTGTATTAATTTTTCAATTAAAGTAACTGTAATTAGTAACTAGTCGCCAGTAACTAGTCACATATGTATCTCGTGTTGTCTTGCAGGTTTTAAAAGTGGATCATATGTAATTTAAACTGGCTTCCCCAACTGCCGGGGAGTGAACTCAATTCACCCCTGGCCCCGCCTTCGTCGGGGGACATCGGAATCTTGTGGGGGACATTATGTCGGAAAGATTGGTCAGGTAATTCCTTGCACTTCCACTATAAATAACTATTAAAGGATTTACGTTCTATGGGACCGCGTAAATTTCGTAGGAGCCATTATTCAAATAATCACATAGAAAGAAAAAAATGTTTGCTAACTAATATTGTATAACAATGAGACATTGCTTTATATTATGGACAATCTAGATGGTTTGTTCATATACAAATATTATTTAGCAATTAAAGTTACACAACAGAAAAATAAAGACAATAATTTTAATTAGGCAATTATACCATACGTTTCATTTCATTTATTCGTCTCATAAAAACAGTCAAAATATACGATTTACATAAAAAGACGGAAAGCTAAATCAACTGTCAAGTGGATTTCCTAACAAAAAGACGGAGACAATATAACACAAATATAAATATACATCATAGTGAGCCCTTAATGTAATCTTGCAAAGTTTTTTTAAAAATATAAATTATTACATATAATTAATTCACTATTTAGTCACTTAATTAATGACCTAATGAATTGCCCAATATTTTAATTATGGAAAGTCTGGCATTTAACATCACTCTGGTAATAAAATACACAGCATGTAAAACTGATTCGTCAGGTGTCTGGAGTGGCATCTCCCTCGCTGGACTGACAGCCTTCTCCGCGGAGTGTATCAACTTTTTGATGCTCCTCGATGAACTGTTCACAATGGACCATTCCAGTGAACTAGATCTAATCTAAGATACGTTCATAATCAAAGCGCTCATTCAGAAGAGTGGGTTGATAGTCAAAATAGTTTTATGAAAAGTTATTTATTTTCAACTATTTTAAAGATTCACTCTATTGGTCATACTAAGAAAGTAAACAGGTGCTTTTCATGAAGAGGTAAAGTAAAAAACAAAATACAATACATTTTTGGATGTTCTTATCTTAAGGAGTTATTTTTATTGGAATATCGGGACATCCTTAAGTCTTGATGATGAGAACTCAACAGACGAGGTGCAGCACATGAAAAAGCTCTTTTCCCGAAAGACTCCAGTCTATATTGTGGCACATAGAGGAGTCGTTGATTGGAAGAACGTAGATCCGGGATGAAGTATTCTCTTTCCATTCTTGCCAGCCTAAGATTTCCACCTTTAGACTGAATATCGCTAACTCAAGCCTAGTTTAAGGAATCGCATACGTTCACATAATAACACATATACGTTCATCAATTTATATATAATAGTGTGTAACAATAAAAAAAATATAGGCCTACCCAGATACGTATAATTTTGACTTTATAAACATTTTATTCCAATGGAATATTTTGACTATTTTGACTTGAAGTCATATCATTAACAACAGCGTAATATCTTTGGATAAATGCATCAAGCACCGTTTTTTACTTTAAAATCGAGGTTAAAATTAATGACATTACACGTCAATTTGTCCTCGTTTAAGAAAATTTAATTCGAACTCTTATATTTAGCTGTCTTATATTAAATATCATACTGACACTGACACTAGTTCATCAAAATGATTGTGTAATTTAAAGTTCAACCTTTAGTAACTTCCATATATATTTGATCGCCTTAATCTGTAAGTCGGTCAGTCAAGCAAATCTATCCATCGATCATGCAATTATTGTATTTGTCTTGACCTGTAATCAGCAAAACCAAACGATGCTGAGCATATGGCGTAGAGGGCAGCACATAGATGTAATGTCATTTTGTAAGAGCCGGTAAAATCGTACAAAGCATCTTTAAAAGGAAAACCAAATACATGTTTAAAACATATACACAAACACATATGCATATACACACATACATATATATTTATACATACATATATGTGTGTGTGTATATAAAGTGCTCCCATGCCAATTAAGAAATAGGCCACTGACATAGCCTCTGCGGATAACTGTTTTCCAAATATTTCAACGCAGACTGGGAGTACAAGGGCCAGAAGTAGCGCTCTTGGAAAACTCATAACTGTGGAAATCACATAATAACAAATCACATTTCAAAAAAATTCACAATTGAAAATTTTAAGTATCTATTTATAATGAAACATCTGCTTATTTCTGAACAATTTAGACCTACTATGTTCTGTATGAATAGGCTGTATTGATAACCAGCGAAAGCTCGTATAAGGGCGAATGTTACAACAATTCTTTGTTAGTTTAAATTTCGGATTATACAACACTAGAAACTTGGAATTAGTTAAACACAAACGTACCTAATATTAACGCTTTTAACACCGTATTTGAAAAGTTAAAAGACAGCAACACTGATATAACGAATAGAGCAAGATTCATTATAGCAACTACTACTGTGATAGAAACCGGAAGGCAGCTTGCAACAAATATGAACAGGACTCGAGTCGCAAGATCAGCGAACCCCATGAGACTCAATGTGTACGCAACCTCTTCTGAAGTCATACCGTTCTCGTCCATGAAGTTGCTCTGGAAGATGAACAAGGAAATTGACTAATAAGGTTATGATGTAATGTAGCACGTATGACAACTTAAATAATAAAAATAATAATATATTACCTGTTTATGAATGTTGGAGACTATCCAATCAAAGAGAGTCGATGAATGTAAGTTATAGGCTGCTTGCTCAAACAACAGAAGAAGTGTTAAGGAAAATAAAACACACAAAAATTCATCGAGATATTAGAAAGAAAAATTATTATGTGGTACATTATGATGATTCTGAGAGTACCGTGTATATTAATTTGGTTTTCTTCTCTGTCTTTTAAACGTTCTAATAATGTCGACGTTTCGATTAAGTTGCTACACTCGAGAATAATATCTATTATTATTATTATTATTATTATTATTTCATCATCATCATCATCATCATCATCATCATCATCTTCATCATCATGATCATTATTATTATTATTATTATTATTATTATTATTATTATTATCATTATTATTATTATTATTAATATTATTATTATTATTATTATTATTATTATTATCATCATCATTCATACCAGACAGAAGGTCGATTGAAGATGACTAGGACGTCGTATCCTGTGTATCTGAATTAAAATGAAGTCTCTTATTTTCAATTCAAGTCGTCCACAACGGTCTTGTCGTATGTGACTACCCCACCAAGAGTGATCACATGACAAGTAAAATTTAATCGAAGCATTCTTTTTAATAATGTCATCTTATTAGGCACACGTATCCATCTCTTGGTAGAGCTGCTCACGGCGCCGTTTTCCACCTGCAGAGTGTACATGTAGCCTTTTTTTCTGCATTATTATTTTGAATTAATTAATTTTATTTAAATTATTTATTTATTTTTATGTATATTTATTTATGACAGACCTGACATAGGTGGGAAAGATAGACAAAATAAGATGCAAATACTCTTCGGGGTCACCATCCATCACCACCCTGGCGCATTCCCGGACCTCTGCCTAGGTTGTGAAAGTTTTTGACAGGTTTTTGACAGTGATAGATACAAAAAGATATAATTATTGGTATCACACTTACCAGGCTTACAAAACTAAATGTAATTGCAAGTGAATAAAGAAAGAACATCGGTTGACACAACCAAAAATCTAAATTTTTCAACATTTTTTTTAGCAAGTATATCTTCCCGGCCTTTTTTCCAGCTTGGTAGACACCCTGTTCATCATGAACCTTGCTAAGTTCGTTATCAGCTGTTTCCTGTATATGCTCATTGATAACACAATGTCCATGGGAACAATTAGTACTCACTCCTACATTAAACAACGTTGTTTCTTCTGCGTTTAGACCAGTATCTGAAATTTCTTCCATATTTTCAGATATTTTCTCGCCACTAACGACTGAAATACCCTTCGTATTAAAAAGTTCAATTTGCAACTCATCTTCTATAGAATCATGTTTTGATTTTAGTTCCATTCCCATTGAATGCGCTTGATACTCATGATGCGGTGATATGTGACAGCTTTTGGTATGCACAGTACTTTGAGTGGTCTCCAATGTCTCTGGGTTCTCATTAATATTATCATTGTGTTTCGAATATTTACTTGAAATTGATTGGTGACTTTCGTAATGTTTCTTCGCAGGCAATCGTGTTCCCATTGACGCCAAAAGTCCGATACACACGATGCATGCGCCATAGATCCTTAATGACTTCTGCAATCCGTAAACCAAAAATAATTTCTCCAACAAAAGAGATGTTATAGCAATACCTGTAGTTAAATAAAAAATAAGAATTACAGAACGGTAACTCATGGGTCAATTCTCAAGCGGTAGAGTAACATCAAAGAAGAACTTAAACCAATTAGTGAGTTATTTTTATGACCGCATGTAGCCGATGATATTAATTAGTTAATCATTGTAAAACTAGAAGACATTGATGAATAAGCTTTTCAAAGTTTCAACAGCACATGAATACATCGACCATATCCATGTAACTAAACACACAAACGGATAATAAGACTGCTGTATTTTACAAGGCGCGGGTTAGGTTATAAATATAGTTATTATTTTATAGATAGGCCTATCAAAATAAAAAACCAATGTCAAAAAATCTTTAAACTCATTTTTCTGACAATTAAATAGACCTATATCCCGTATTTATTCGAATAAACGCCCCGGGGCGTTTATTGATTGTTGAAAAGGGGCTTTTGAGAGGGAATTTATTCGATGAGGAGTGGGGGTTAGTTATTCGAGTAAATACATATACACGCCCACTAATTTTACTGTAAATGTTGAACTACAACCAAAACTACTGTCAAAATGTGTTATTGCGTGATCATAAAGACAACAAGGTTATAAAAAATATACCCCTCGGGGCGGCGTACGAGGAGGTGTTCCAAATGAGACTCTAGTGGAGCGTTTATTCAAAGCGGGGCGTTTATTCGAATAAATACGGTACGTCATATGATGTGTGTGTTTGTGTTACTTGAACTCCGACACAATTATGCCTATGGTATGAGAGGCGTGCAGTCATACATGAAATATAATGATATACATCAAATAATATGAACAATACACAAGTCCAAAAAAGCACACGCCATATAATCAGTTTAACCAGTTAAATAATTTTCCTCCACCAAACACAAAATCGTTCATCGTTTTTCTTATTTTACATTACCTTTTTGAGCACCATTTATACAATCTGTCAACTTTGGTAAAAGTCAGTAATTTTATTTACAAGTTAAGGCATAGGCCTATGCGGATATCCCGGTGAGTGTAGTTAACAGGAAGTTGCTATAAACAAGTCTCCCTCCAATTAAATATCACTTTCGGGACCGGGGTTTTCATGGTCTTTAGCAGCATTGTTCTCTAATTAGAATAATAAAAATAAAAAACATTTGTTAATGGGACCGCAGAAAAGTGGTCTTTAATTGGAGGGGTCTTTAATTAGAGGGAGACCTGTAGTAACAATTAAAAGATAGAGATCATGCCCTCAAACAATAAAAACAATAAATGATAAGGACGATAATGATGTTGATAACGATGAAGATGATGTTAACACTGATGACGATGATGATGAGCCTGAGGTTGATGATGATACAGTACCTGTAATGACTAATACCAATAACAGAAACGGTAAAAGTAAGAGCAACCAGTGTTTAAGCTGTATTATTTTCCAAATAGCCAAAACTGAATATTTTCAATCCAAATTATCTAGAAAGTTAATGGATTAAAGCTCAATTCCTTCCTCTTTGCTAATCTTTTTCATATACTAATTTACAAAATTGCTAAACATTTTGACTGGGAGCTCAGACAATTTATTCAAATGAAGGAAGACGTATGATGATGATGATGATGATGATGAAAAGAATGATAAGGATGATGATGATGATGATGATGATGATGACGACGACGACGACGACGACGACGACGACGATGAGGATAATGATGATGATTATGATGATGATCTGGGCATGGTCTGATTATGTTAGCTTAAGCATGGCGGTATTATCTTAAGCAAGGTGTATACATAAGACAACGATTTAATAATAAAGTTTCTACCGGGTCTCATCCTGTACAGGGAGGAGCCTATGGGACAAAATATTAGGCAAAAACTCATTTATTCAAGTTATACAGAGATATGGACAAAATTAGACAGAAGCCTATGGGACAAAACATTAGGCAAAAACTCATTTATTCAAGTGAGTCAGAGATATGGACAAAATTAGTTAAATATAACAGCTTTCCTGTTCCGGGCCCTAGACAGTAACATTAAATACCACCTCCACCATAAAGCGTTATTTAAGGAGTGAAGAGAGACACAACACCAAAGCAACAATAATAATAACAACAACAATAGAAAACTTTGTTATTTGTGAAGTTATTAAAATTATGCAGTGCTAATTAGGCCTAATGGTCCACTTGAGTTCTGTGTATTTTTTACATTACAGTGGGTTGATCTTATGAACCAAGTGCAACAAATCTACTGTATAATGTTAGCTAACTGTAATGGAAATCACATTTTTGTAAGTTTTCCATATCCTAAATAATCATGAGAGCTTTACAGATATAAATGGTGTCACCTCACATCACAACGCCGGGCGTAGAGTGGTCAGTGGATTCAGCTGTATCTATACACAATATGGAAAACAATACGGAAATTCGAAAAAGCATTTCTGTGGTTCTTTTTACGTAGGCCTATATATATGTTACTATCTCATAAGTTTGTTTTAGGTACACATACTGTACCAACTAGGCCTATATACTTTTTGTATGTATATTAAAACAAACTATATCTCATAAGTTTATTTAAGTAAGCCTCAAATAGTATATAGTTGAAAGTATTTTTTCTTTACATTTCCAATTTATTCTTTTTTTTTCGTTTTTCCCTTTTCTTCCCCATCCTTCATTTTCCCCTTATCTATAGGGCCTACCCTATAGGCATATAGCCCTATTTTAAAATGTTTTTGTTATTAAACAATATTATGTCGAAATTGTGACCTTACCTACTCCTATTCCAGTGAGAATGGCAACACAAGCTTTATTGTAACGTTTTCCAGAAAAGTGGTGCCTGAGTAAATGAAGCTGAGGTATATGGACGAAGTTCGATCCCAACCCGTACAGGATCCCGTGCAAAAAAATCAAAACGTGAATCTGAGAAACAATTGTTGACGCTATGAGACTAGTGCCACACATTAAGACGCCGGCGATGACCACAATTTGATACCCGACAAGTTTACAGACAACCGTTGTCATTGGCGTTGCCAGGTTAAGGATACCAATAGAAACTGCACCGGGAATACCTGTTAATGTTTAAAAAGGTACTAAATATTATCGTGTAGGCCTATTTATATCATCTAACAATGGAATCCAAACCTAACGCACTAACACGTTTTCTTTTCTGTAATTATAAAGCCTATTAATTACAAAAATCCATTTCCTAATTCTGTAATGACAATAAAGTCATTAATAATAAATAATTAATAATAGATTAATTATAAAATTAATTATAAAATAAATTATAAAATAAAAATAAAATTAATAATAAATAATGTAATATACATATAATATAAGGCCTATTCAATATATTTTAAGTTTCCAATTTTCTTGCCAAAGGTGACAGATAGTGCTACAACAATACTGTGGGAAACAATGCTGTCCTTTAGAGATTGAACTGATAAGCAACTAATATAAACAAAGGTCATGACAGCCAAAAATAGCACCAGAGCTTATTGAACAATAGCCTACAATAACAGTCCTTCATGTATGTGTACATTACTATTGTAGGCCTATATATAATGTGTAATATATGTATATATATAAATATATATATAAATATATATAATTATATAAAAACCATGAATGTACGTATACACACATGTTTTATAGGGTGCAGGTCAACTCGGCCACAAGTCAACTCGGCCACAGTCAACTCGGCCACAAGTCAACTCGGCCACAAATCAACTCGGCCACAAAAAGTTCGGCTACAGTCAACTCGGCCACAAGTCAACTCGGCCACAAGTTAACTCGGCCACAAGTCAACTCGGCCACAAATTATTTATAATTAAAATGAAATGTAAATACGGTATTACAGTTTCTGCATCCTTTTTTCTTCAATATGATTAAAATGAAGTACACAGTATATTTTAGTAAAATTCTGATCATCGTCACATCGTCGTGAGATCGTTGTATACATTTCTTCACACTGTAATCTTATGCAACAGAGAAAACCCGCCACTTACAGAATGGAATAAAATCTGACAATTGTAACATTAACAATTTAAGCAATCTTAATAATTAAGAAAAACACATATATTAATGTTTAATTTTGTTAATGTTAAAACACTGACATAAAACATGAGTACATACTGTAGACCTAATCATAAAAAATTGAAATAGAAAAATCACATTATGATTTTTTTAAATGTTAAACATTTATTTAGAATCCGACTAAAATCAAATGAATGCACGATGGCGTGCATTTCGATACTATTTTCTTCAGAACCACGCCCAAGAATTGGGCCTACGTTAAAATTAGGTGGGGTGCAGCATCTGATATCAATTATCCACAATAGGAACAATTGGTATTGCTGCGTGACAGACTTCAGTCCTTCATATTTGTTCGACCATTGGGGGATATGTTTGAAACCCGTCAGTGACAAGGATGCATCCAATGACGTGATTCACCAGTGACATGTCGGTCCTTTTCAAATATTTACTTTAATAATACTAATTAGTCATAATAATGATAATAAAGGTGATAACAACAACAATATTAATAGTAATATTTATTTTAACAATACTAATAGAAATAATATTGTAATAATAACGATATTTAAATATCTATTTTAATAATACTAATTAGTGATAATAACGTTGAAGGTGATAATAGCAATAATAACAGCAATAATAAATTAAAGATAACGTTTATTTTTATAATAATAGTAATTCTAATTAGTAATAATAATAATAATAATAATAATAATGATACTTATAATACTAGGCCTACTTAGTACTTAGTAATAATAGGGTAATAATATCGATAATAAAGGTGACAACAGCAACAACAACAACA